AACTGTTTTGTTGTAGATATTATTTACAGTATCTTCTTGATATTTTCTATTCTATATTTATATCATTGACCTTCTACTTTCCCACTATTTTGTATGTACTCTTAATATTTAAATGTTTTCATCAAATATAACACATTCAAAAGTGCTTTACAAAAATGAAAGACATTAAGAAAAATGCATTTTAAACAGTCATTAAAAAGCAACATAATCTTCCTGCATTGCAATTACTCCAAACGTGTAATAACGCGCTTTAACCAGTAGGAGGTGCGGGTTAAAAAACTGTCAAGTTTAAAGTGTTAACAAAATAAAATATATTGCTGTTTCTGGTTTAGTTTACGACGGATATATGTTGTTATTGTTTTGATATTTGTAACAAAAGCGATGGAAAAAACCCACAGTAACACAGAAAAGATGGTCTTAACATGACCCAGCGGTCTAGTAGTTAATAAAAAACAATAATATCAAAACAGATTATTACTACTAACTTTATTGTGAAATTAAAACAGAACGGTAAAAGAATAGTTTCCGGTCTATTCTGATGCCCAATCTCTGTAGATAAATAAAGAACTACGATAGATGTGTAATATTTAATGCAGCCAAACCATTTATTACAATGCATTAATGTGATGACTTTCAAAGAGTAAAGCAAGCACTGCTGAATAAAGTATGATTTTATCTTTTACGAAACGTTTTTTTTTATATGGAATATAGTTGGAGGTCAACCAATCACAGAGCTTGAGGACTGATCACGGGGTTTGTCAAACAGAGCACATGTTGTAGTCCCAAACGATAGCTGAGGATTCTGGGTAGTGTAGTGTCTTCTGCCATCCAAAAACTCCGAATAAATATTTGTTTCTCCGAATCGAAGGGGAAAATACAAAAGCATTGTACACAATTTAAACCAATCAATGTTGTGTAATTAACAAGGATAATCTGGTGTTTTCGAGTTGATGAGTAGTTCAGATATCACTGTAAAATCAATCGACTGTAAGGAGAATACTTACTTCCGGGTGTAAAATTCTCCGTTATCCAATGGGAATGGATGCTCGTAATACAATAAAGGGGACATGATCATTATCTTTTAAATAACGTTAACTAAAGGGAACAATCTATTGACACAGCTGAAGCTCTGGCCTTCCTTAAAAACTAACTAATTTAATAAAAATCACAGTTGTATTACACACAATGCACTGTTTTTTGAGAACAAAAATGTGTGACTAATGCACCATAATACATTCTGACGACAAATAAAAATTATTATGAATACAAATAAAATAAAAGAAGCCTCCTGTGAGTTACTACAAGCTATAAAGTAGATTTAAAAAACGTTTTATAGAATAAAAGCTCACTGCGGGACGTTGTAGAAATGCGTGTGTGCACCACGACAAAAGAGCCTCATTCACTTTACATTGTTTTTTTTTGCGTGGTGCCGACACGTAAATGTAGCAGAATGCGTGACTCCACCACGCAATGCGGTGTTAAGGTTGCGTGGTGGAGTCACGCATTCTGGTGAGATCAGGTTGCATTTGCATGTGAATAGCCGAGTATATTGCCATAAATATGATGATTGATTATCAGTAAAACATTCTACGTGACACAACGACATTGGATTAACCTTGAGATGCGTTTTTATTCCGTTGAACACAACTTTTGATCACAAATCAAAAAAGGTAAAACGTAATTATTGTAATATTTTTGGAACCGGATGTTGTTTACTTTCTCTTTTCTGGCTGATAGCTATAGGAATTCGAGGTCTTACAGTGATGACATTACATGTGTGGAATCTGTGGAGTCTCAGCTTTAAATCGTATATCTTGTTTGTGCAGTTAAGATAGTAATAAGGGCATTTCTACCGCGTGTTGTGTGTAAAAAAGCGTTAGCATTAGTTAGCATTGTTTCGCTCAATGCTAATTCAAAGGCTTGGTATTACTCTTGTGTTTTTTCTAGCTAACAATTGTTCTTATTGTCAGTTAGCGGAGTTTCTTACCTTTAAAAGGGTATGAAACATTAATAGTTTCATAAATGTTAAGAAGCCCTGAGACATGTGAGAGAAACAAAACTGTGGGAGGGGTCCACAGGGGGGACCTTCGGGATTAACTGGTTAACAATGATTAATATTTGTAAAGGCTACAGGTGATTTTAAGATGCGTGAGCTATGCTTAGGGACCTACCAGTCAAGATTATTTGTGCGTAGGGGTGCATCATCTGGCGCCTGGTCCTGGTCATCCTCGCCATTGCCCATGCCGTGAACCATCACCTCGGGCTCGGGCTCGAACAAATAAGGACGTAATGGTCCATCGTCTGGCTCAATATTGTCACCATCGTCGCTTACTGAACCGGATTCAGATTCAGTTCCTAAAACGACATTTTCGTAGGAAAGCCGAGAGGATGTTTCTGACTCGCTATCATCACTGGATACCTCGTACAATCCTTCTTCTTTGTCTGGTATATTTGCCCTTCCACGTTCCTTCTGCATAGACGCCATGGTTTGTTATCGTATCGTCTTCCTAAGTTTTCGTCACTTCCGGTTTGGCTGAGTCGAACATTTCGTTTCTAAAAAACTTCGGGGAAGCTGCAATAAAGTGCTTCTAACATGCGTAAGGCAATTATTATATATTTTTAATCAGGTGTGATTGTTTTGCTACGTAATTATGCTTGTATATAAGTTAAAACGAAACTATTTGATGTTCCATTTCCACTATCCCTTTAAAGTGGACCTATCATGCTATTTGAACAATATATTGTAGGGCCATATCTATATAAAGTATATATATGATTCTGTGAGATGCAGCTGACCACGCCCCCCTGCAGGAGAGGGCAGCGTGCTCTGAGATCAGCTGCTGGGCTGTCAGAAGAGGGGGAGAAAAATAGATCTCCCTCCTCTGTGTTTTATTCTTATTGAAGTAAGAAGAGAAGTAATGGGGCAGAAACCCTCCTTTTTACGCAGCGGTCCAGACATAGACATCAAACGGCGACACATATTCAGTTGCCAGTTACTTTGGCATTAGGGCAGGGATATCTAGATACTTTCCAAAGTGTGACATAATGAATTGTGCTACTTTTAAAGCAAGCAACGATGTTTTCAAATCTGTAATCAAAAAGCTCCTCAAAAACACTCTCGAAGCAGTTCCTGCCGTTGCTACGTTAGTTCAAACAGTAACAACGGGCTATTTTTCTTAGCGGATGCATGTCAATTTAAATACATACAACTCAATAAATCAATAAAATCATTTTCTAAATCCATAAAAGCATTTCAATTAATATTGGGAGTCATGTCGTTAATTTGTTGAGAATGTGGCCATGTAATAAGCGGGATAATGTGCACATTGCATAATGTGCCTTCATGCCGATCTAGATCCCTCCGCAAAAAAAAAAAGCGAGCCGGACCGACACATCACTATTCTCTATACATACTACATAAAGCATGGTGTTACATGTATGTCTTTATGGCCTGATTGCTCTGACCCAAATCTTTACGAGACAGGTCCCACCACCTGACATGCAATGACTTGTAACAGATTTGCAGAAGTTTATCTAACACTTATGTGATGAGTAAAACCAGTGGCGGCGCCAGAGATTTTCTCTAGGGGGTGCTGTGGGGTAGCTTGACGTTTCATAGAGGGTGCTCAAACATTAAGGGTTTCCCATTAATGCACCAGCGCTACAGAAGATTTTTTTTTTAATATTGAAGTTAAAAGCATCAATCTGGTGCACTTTGAGAACAAAATGAAGAGATCTATGGATATACTGTATCTCTCAACATACATATGAAACAGAACTGTAAACAGATTTTCTATTTCTTTATAGATAAATCACTCCCCTTTTAAAACAAACCGTTTCAGACCCACTGAGATAACTAGACTAAAGTTAACTATCTAAACACTGAGAGTCCTTTACTTCACCTGAGCTGAGGTTATCTGAGACTCTCCGTCTGACAGGAGAGAGTTCTCCCTCCACCTTGTTGTTGAAAAAGCTCCTTATATCCGTTAGCTTGGCTAGCGAGCACCAGATGCTAACCACAACGATCTCCGGTAGATACCCACCGGTGCGCGAGCTCTCGCTCGCTTGCGCACGCACACAAAATGGCTCGTGCCACACACACACACAGAGCAGAGCTTGAATGAAACAGACCCAGAAGTAAGCTACTTGTACTCACGAGGCCTATTATGTGCAGAATCCCTCTCGCTTTCAGTTGGTTTTGATTGAGTGTCCACATGTGGACGTTTAAGGACTAAAAAACGATCCATTTGTCACTTTGCTGTTAGCAAATAATGTGGGGCTCCAGCTAACAGGAAGTCACTCAAGTGTCACAAAGTAATTTAGCCTATGGGTAGGTCAAAAATCTAATGGGTGCTGGCCATTGGCCTAATCATATGGCTTTATGTTTTTGGTCAAACATTTGTTTGTTTCACATTTGCATTGATGTAATCAATAATTTTTCTGATTTAATTTAATAAAAATAATATTAATAATTTTCGGGAAAAAAAACAAAACACATATTTATTGGGGGTGCTTAGGGGGTGCTTTGGCAATCCTGGGGGGTGCTTCAGCACCCCCTAGCTCCCCCCTGGCGCCGCCCCTGAGTAAAACTGCAAGAAACAGTAACTCAGAGCATATTGTTTGCACCTCTAGGCTCTGTCAGCTCTTTCTAGCCATTCTACTCGTGGCCTAATTTTTCGGGTATATAAGCAGTAGTGAACACCACTGTGTGTTTATGTCTGCGATTATCCTCTGCACCGCGACAGGGTATTTTCCCCTAGGCCTACTGCACTCTTGACTTGAATTATAAAAATGACTGTGATTACATTCACAACATTGTCAGTTTACAACATACCTCCCAGATGTGTTAATTCTACCGAAAGAAACCCAATAACTTTTGTCGCAGGCATTATGTTATGAAACTCGGCATCCTTGGTTTCACAACAGGGCAGAGAGCCCTCCTTTCATCCAATCGGATGGCGCGCTGCTGCGTCACGTGGTCTTTATTTATGTAAGTAATGGTGTAACACAGTAACCCCGTGTTGTGGCCGTGGATACCTCGCTACAGGGGTTGAACGCTGACACGGACTACGAAAAAGATGAAAATATTCTGGTGTGGTTCGCGTTGCGTTTGTGGAGTTCGGAGTGGCGAGGAAAGCGTTTTGTTTTATTCAACCTGGTTGAACGGGGAAGACGTAATGTGTCCCAAACCAAAGAGTAAGTTAGTGCTGGGAATGGATAGGGTAGCATAAGAGTATATAATAGATGCATGTTTGTCTGCAAATGGAATGTGTAGGGTAAGCATAAGAGTATATAATAGCTCTTTATTAACAGAAGCTTAGCTAGACAGAAACCGGGTCGGGTTCGAGCAGATGTGATCGGAGAATTAAGGGACACATTAACTGGATCGTTAGCTGTCAGTCTGTTATTCAAGTGGTGCATGCAATACTATTTCACAGACAAGACTAGCAGCCCTCGTCGCTTTGCCAAAAAAGCAACCTATTTCTCCGTGGGACGTTTTTTTTCGGTGATATAACCCAGTCACCATGGATATATTGGAGTGTCCGCTCTGCCTCTTCCTGATGTGCGAGCCGGTGACCATGGCGTGCGGCCACACGTTCTGCCGGAGGTGCGTGGGGGGATACCTGCCGTCCAAATGCCCGGTGTGCAAAGAGAGGTTAAAACAAAGAGACGTGAAAAGCATGAAGAACAACATCATGCTCATCAGCGTTATCGAGAAGTGCTGCCCCGACGAGACAAAGACCAAGTGCCAAGTACAGGAGAAGCTAAAATCCAACGACTTCACGGAAGCTTTACGCATCGCCAACGAGGGGTTGGACTTAGGTAAGGGACACATGCACAACACCATAGCAACAATACAGTGCGTTTGTTGCTTTTTTGTGTCAACCTAAGCCTGCGGCACTGCTTGTATTAACAATTTCCCAGGATTAAGTATAGGCAGACAGTTCAGAGTTCTACTTTTACGCACTGCTTACAGGTTTGGCTTGTGCCCAGTGCTGGTGACAGATGGTGCATCCCATTATGCTGTCCAGTCCTAATTTGCACAGCAGTGAGACACAGGAGGTGTTATGACAGAAAACAGAACACTTGGTGGGTCAAACACAGATCCTGATGCCTTGTATTCACAATATAAAGCGATTGATGACCCAAATATAACTGTAAACAAGTATCCAAATGACCCCCTTTCCAGAAGAGAAACTCATTGTATGTGCTGGAGGCTGTGGCTCAGTGGATAGTATGATGGACTTCTAATCAAGGGATAGCAAGTTCGAGTCCCACTGCAGTCAGCATGTCGTTGTGTCCGTGGGCAAGACACTTCACCCCAAATTGCTCCTGTGGGAATTGCCCACAGTACTGTAAGTCCTCTAACAAATGACATGTAATGTAATGTGCTGCATAAGAAGGATGCACTGGAGAAAGTTAGTCAGCATCAGTCTGGTCTAACTTGTCGCCTGTGTGTGCCAGCTGTCACATTTCTGTGGTCATATCATGGTTGGAAAATAAGGAAACGATTAGGAGGACGTGGATGCAGCCTTCCATCTGTGCACAAACTTATCTTTTTCTTTTTCTTTTTTTTATTATCGTGCCCTCATTTGACATGTTGTTCGTGTGTGTTGGAGGAGGGGCTCTGTAAGGAAGAGGCAGATTTGTTTCGGCTGCATATCAAATTCTAGCGCACTCGAGCTGGTTTCCCCACAATGACCTACCCCACCTTTAAGACACAAGCACAATTAAACATAGCCATAAAGTGATCGTGCATATACAACATATTTGAGATTTGAAAGTGTCCTAAACATATGCATTACAATCATGTGAGCAAATCTTTTAATTCTTTTGAATTTTGCACATTTCAGTATAACACTTCCTCCTTTTAAGCATTCAAAATGTGCCACTGTAAAATATATTGTACTGTATTTGTTGTCATATTTTCACTGTACTTAGCTTACATTTCTTGTATATTTATATTCTGTGTAAATGTGTCTCTTTATTTGTTTAAAGTCTAAATAATATGTGCAAACCTACTTGGCAATAAACCTGTATCTGTAAAAGGAATACAAATGTTGAATGTTTTGAATGTAGAAAGGCGTGTAAATATAGTCGTTAAGCCACAGCTCTTAAAACCCTGTTCAAATGAGCCTATACATCTCTTTATTTTACTCTCTCTTTTGTTTGTTTTTCATCCTCAGTCCCACATGATCAGAGTTTGAAAGTGTACCGAGCTGAAGCTAACTCGGGCCTGATGCACTTCTCTGATGCTCTGACAGACCTCGACTACCTATGCTGCCTTCGTCCTAACTGGACTGAGGTGAGTGACTTTGACAGTGTTTCAACATATACACTAGTCCCGCTTGTATAATCTGTTTTTGAAGTTACTCATTAACAACACCAATTCAAGGGCTTTACTTCAGTTCAGCCCCCTGTGCAACTCAATGCTCTCACCCGAAATGCACTGTTGGTTTTGTAACATGTAACAACACACTCAGAAAGAGGTGTGGGCCCTTTATGGGCATAGATATGTCTCATAATTATTTGTGTGAACATAAAAATAATTTGTGTGTAAATATGTGATTTGTAAATGTAAAACAACATCCACAAATGCATTTAAAATATTTGCAAACTCACAAATACATTTGCAAGTGTAAAACGGATCTGCAAATACGCTAAATATGTTCACAAATAAAAAAAGATCTGTGAATATCTCTTTAACATTTACACCTTTCGATCAGGCATTTGTGAATCCATTTTGTATTTGTGGACCAAAAATGCGCTTGCGGATCTCAAATCTCTGTTCACGGATCTCAAATCTCTGTTCACGGATCGTCTTACACACACGGAATTTTGAGACATATTTTCCGCCGGTCTCGGCTAAAATCTACTCGTGTCACTCGGTTATTTTCGGAAGCCACGTGATGGCCTGCTGATGACGACATTTCCGCATGATTTCAAAGTAAGAGCATGATGGTTTGTTTAATGCTCTGTTTTTGTATTATAATGAACAGCGGAACGTTAGATGCATTCTTCATCACCATCACCATCATCATCATCATGTTATAGTGATACAGTTAGTTTGTGTTATTGGTTCAATATAGCATATATCGAGCACTTTCGTTGATGTTGAAGTGCAGGCTATACGCCACTTTCGGGTCCCGGGGGGAGCAGCTGGCAGCGAAACAGCCCAGATAAAACTCTTTCTTCATTGTTTGTTGTGTATTCAGTCAAGCGGGTCGAAGTTACAAAGCACTTCACATCTTATTAATCGGCCTAATTTTACCTTACCAGTGCAGTAATAAAGTAATCTGTAGAAAAGCACCGTATTTAGGTCAGGGTTATGGTGATGAAGAATGCATCTAACGTTCCGCTGTTCATTATAATACAAAAACAGAGCATTAAACAAACCATCATGCTCTTACTTTGAAATCATGCAGAAATGTCGTCAACAGCGGGCCATCACGTGGTTTCCGAAAATAACCGAGTGACACGAGTAGATTTTAGCCGAGACCGGCGGAAAATATGTCTCAAAATTCCGTGTGTGTAAAAAGACGATCCGCAAACAGAGATTTGAGATCCGTGAACAGAGATTTGAGATCCGTGAACAGAGATTTGAGATCCGCAAGCGCATTTTTGGTCCACAAATACAAAATGGATTCACAAATGCCTGATCGAAAGGTGTAAATGTTAAAGAGATATTCACAGATCTTTTTTTAATTTGTGAACATATTTAGCGTATTTGCAGATCCGTTTTACACTTGCAAATGTATTTGTGAGTTTGCAAATCTTTTAAATGCATTTGTGGATGTTGTTTTACATTTACAAATCACATATTTACACACGAATTATTTTTATGTTCACACAAATAATTATGAGACATATCTATGCCCATAGCCCTTGTATTTTTAGAGTCTAATCTAAGCGTGCTAAGCGCTTTTCTCTGCTTGTATTGATGTTATGTCATTAACAAAGTTATGCAAACAGATTCTTATGTCATTAAGTCATTCAGCCAGTGGGTGGCTCGCTGCATATGCAACATGCTCTCTGTAGGATATTCATTTATAGTGTTTTTTTGAGAAGTGTGCAACACGTTTCTCATCCCATTTCAAATGTCAAAACATTTATCTCTTGCAAAAATAGGGGATTATAAATATAAATGACATTGGGTTATTGATGTGGTGCTGATGTCCCTTTTCTGTTTGTGCAGGGCTTTTTTCGTAAAGGGAATGTTCTGCTGGAAATGGGTCAGCAGACAGACGCCCTCATCCAGTTCCACCGTTGCCTAAAACTCCAAGCTGACTTTGCCCCTGCGAAGAGCCAGATCAAGAAGGTGTGTTGATTTTAGTAACCGCTCATCAAAGGGTCCTTAATGGAAAGTAACATCAAGACTTTAATTGGAATATATTGGATCTAATATTCCAAAGAGCTTAGGTAACATTTGTAGGCTATATATAGTGATAAAGTTGCATGTGTTGTTTTATTTTTTCTTTCTGTGAGAATAGCAGCAGTGCCAGATTCAGACTGACACATGCACACCTCATGCATGTCTATTAGGTGATCAGTTACCTCCCATAAATTGTTTTTGTAAGAATTGATAAACCTAAAGGAGATTAGTGTTTCAATGTTTTTATTTGGCCACATCATGGTTCAATATGCTGCTATTATTATCATTACTATTAATCAGTGTTTGGGAGTAACTAGTGGCACATTTTAAATGAAACACATGTCATTTCATCACTTACTGATGAAGACATATGTATATCCTAAATATATCATTCACCGTTTTAAAGGGGCCCTATTATGCAAATGTTCGGGTTCAAAGTTGTATTTTGTGCCTCTACTGTGACATGTGGTGTTGCTGTTCAAAATGTTTTCTCATACTGCCTGTGCTGCAGCACCTCTTTTCACCCTCTGTCTGAAACCAGAGCCCAGTCTGCTCTGATTGGTTAGCTGGCCGGCTGGTCAAGTGCTTAGAGATGTCCCGCCCCTTAACCGATCACTTACAATGTATTGCAGCGCTAACCTATTGAAGCGCAAGTGTGTAATTATGTTACGAAAGTAAACAAGGGAGTCAAATTGAGGCCTTTCAGGCAGGGGGGGAGTGTGTGGGAGAGAAACTCCCTCTAGAGGGAGCTTAGGGAATTTAGCCTTTGCAGACCGTTTGCATGCACACACGTCTATATAACACACTATAAGAAAGGGAAACCCATAAAGCATAATATTCAATTCAATTTTTTCAATTCAAAGGTTTATTGTCATATCGTATACACAACTACGGTGTAGCCTGTAATGAATGAGAAACTTGGGTCACAGGTTCCTCAACAATGCAAATTCAAGACATAAAACACATTAAAAAAACAGTTTTATAGCCCAGTTCAAAAATACCTGTTAGTAATGTAAGAAGTTACATTACTCACAACTTTTGAATTCAAACAGTATATATTTAATATTATTTAATTGACATTCATTTTACATGCAGGGTGCATCAAATGTTTGCAAATATGTTTTTTTACATTTTTGTTTTATTTGATTTGGTGTTTAACACTGGGTAAAACAAATAACACTTTTATATTCATACCTATTATGTGACTCATTTTTATCATGACATCTTTCATATGGCAGATTCTGGAGGCAGAGGGACGGACAGTGCCGGAGGAGGGGTCCTGCATCTTGCAAGTGGTGTCCGAGTACCTGAAAGGGACCTGCCCCATTACCAGCCTCAGTGGCTCCCAGGGGCCAACTCACCCTGACAAACAGGCATGTGGGGACGATGGAGAGGGAAAAGGGAGGAGAGAAGCACACGAGGTAAGCGAAGAGAGAATATTAACGGCTCTTATGTGCACTTTAACTATAAGCATGGAAGGTGTGAATGCAAATACGTACAAATGAGTCATTACATTGGCACAAGGACTTACTTTGTCATCAGCAAACCCTTTTAAACTGCAATTCAGCATTCATTTTTTCCTGATACTAATACACCACTGTATATATTGTAATATACATGTAATATATATTAGTATGATGTGCACATTTTTACCTAACTTCTTACGTTTAGATAACATTTTATTACGTTAACTGCTAATGATTATATGAAAGTCTTAATTCTATTATATTTTATCTTTTTTTATGCACATTCTTACTTGAACTTCTTCGGTTTTATATATATTAATTTACTTAAATATTTATGTATATCTTTTTTTTATTTTTATTTTCACGTTTTATTTTAGTCACATAAAACCTAATTTCTTTCAAAAATAAAAAGGTATTCTGATCATATCTCACCATATCATAGGATTATCATCTGTATTTTTTATCTTTTATTTAAGCGCAACAAAACCCAATTACCGAGGAATTTACTTTTTGATTCTGATATTTTAACTACTAACTATGTGTGTTTAGGGTTCCAAGGTGAAGTATGATACGGGTACAGAGTGCTGCCTCAGCCTCTGCCAAGCTGTCTCCTTCCTCCCTGCTGCTGAAGAGGACGAGGAGATGATGATGAGGAGGGAAGATGGGCATGGCCGGGGTACGCGCACACACACACAGCAGTGTACACACAGACACCCCATTATGATAAATTGTCTGTCATCTTCATCATTGTCCTCATCATGAATCCTCTTTGTCACTGTCGCTACAAGCAGCTTTGCGGTAACACCCACCAGATGCTTTGAAATTGCATAATAACCATTAGTTCTTCCTCAGCTGGGCATCATAAAGCTCTCTTTGTGTTTCAGGTGAAAGTGGTCACAGCAGGGTGGTCACTCTGAGTGTTCTCACCGTGTCAGACTTTGAGTGCCCTCTCTGCATCAGGTCGGTGTTCTCTATTCCCTCTAATCAATAATGCATTGCTGTTTTAGTGTCATGAATCAGGTTAATCCTATTCTCCTCTCTCTCTGGTTAATGTTAATCACACATACAGTATGCTCACAATCACTCACTAGAAACTTTACCAGCAGCACAAGCATCCATCCTCATCCTGGTTGTTTCAAATTCAGTTTTTCTCCTCTGAAGGTTGTTTTATGAGCCGGCCTCCACTCCCTGTGGCCACACCTTCTGCAAAAACTGCATCGAGAGGAGTCTGGACCACAACATGCGCTGTCCCCTCTGCAAACAGCCCCTACAAGAGGTGACTATTAATTAATCTCAACTACGACTATCTCAGACCCTTCTTGGTCATCATCCTTGCAATTCCTCTTCCTTTGTCCACACATTGTTTTAAGTCCGATTAGAAACTTGAAACACAGGAATTGAGTTGTAGTTGAGAGACAAGTACTGCTAATCTCTACAAATAGATATACTAAAAAATAATGAACATCAGCATTAATACTTTCATTAATACACCACAATTTATATTTTAATTTTTTGAACAACATTTATGGTTGTTGTATATTGTAAAATGTGCACATTTGTAATTCAACTTCATTAGAAATGATTGTTTATGCAACTATTTTCATTTCATTCTATTTGATCTTTTACTGCACATTTTGAATCTACCTTCTTATTTGTATACTGTTTTTATTTTATTTTACTAAATTGAATTTTGTTGAGCAACTGTTAAAAAAAACAATTTGCCTCCGGTTTAAAGGTGGGGTAGGTAAGTTTCAGAAACCGGCTCGAGTGCACTAAAATTTGAAAGTACACAGCCGAAAAGAATCCGCCCTTTCCTTCAGACTTCCTTACAGAGCACCTCCTCCAACACACATGAACGCGCACATGACGGCAGCAGACTGGTGAAAGTGGCCGCCTGTTGCTGGCGAGTCATTGAAGTACTGCTGCAATGAGGGCACGAGATACATTTGTGCGTGCACGAGATGGAAGGTTGACAGACAGGGCGGGCCGGCTAAACGGATTGGTCGTGCTTTTTACAGTATTACGGCTTCCACAGATGACATTTTTTTATGGATTTTTTGTCAAAGCACTTCAGATATTCATTGCTATCGGATGTTAAGAGCATTCCATGGAATATAACAACAAGTGTATCTCGAGCCGGTTTCTCAAACTTACCAACCCCACCTTTAAGTAAAGATTGTGATTCTGATCAAGCTAACAAAAACCTTTGTCCAATGCCTCTTCTGCTGTCCATTAACACTGTGAACCTGCATGCCTGTATTTCCTGCTCAACTGGATTAATCAGTACTTGTCCGACTACAAAAAAACTCCATAAAAACGCCCTGCGATACATGTATCTGTGTTGTTGCCTTCAATAAATCTATCTTTAGACACAATAAATAACACTGTGTTAATCACCATGCATGTATCCACTTGCATACAAAGCTGTGAACAAAATCTTATATCCATATTTTAAATGGCTTTTGCTTCAAACTGCAACTTCATTGCACCAAACTATATATTTAAATGCTTGGGTTTGTTCTTTGTTGCAGTACAAAGATAACAATTTGTTACTATACTATTATGTATAATTGGTTATGAGCGTCATTAAATTGCAATTATGGCTGATTATGTTCACTTTTCTCTTCCCAGTACTTCAAAAACAGGAAGTATAACCCCACGGTTCTGCTTCAGGACATCATGACCAGTCTTTTCCCTTCGCAGCTGGCTGAGAGGAAACAGGTCCATGAAACGGAGATGGCTGAACTGTCCAAGTAGGCGTCCACCACACACACAATTTACACCCGTGATTAATTCTAGCAGCTCGCTAGCAACCATCTCGCCTTGGTCACACAAACCTCTCCCTTATTCTTCTTTATTTTTTTCTCCCTGCCTCCAACTTCTCTTCTCTTTTCTCTTCTGTCTCCTCCTCTGTAGTCTAACTAAGGACATCCCTATATTTGTGTGCACGGTGGCGTACCCCGGCGTGCCCTGCCCCCTGCACATCTTCGAGCCTCGATACCGGCTGATGATGCGTCGCTGCATGGATACTGGCACCAAAAAGTTTGGCATGTGCAGCTATGAGCATGGCAAGGGGTATGCAAGTTTTTTTTGTATTCTTTTTTTTGTTGACTTGGGTAGATAATTGTGTGTTAACTTAAGCAGCATCGAAATATAGCCAGTTTAGACGCAAGTGAGGTAAACGCATTTACATTTCGAGTATGGGTATGGGGAGACTACTTTTGAAATGTACCTCACTGTGGAACTCGCAGCAGGCGAGGTGGAGCAAGAAGCACAGTGGGCAAAGTTTAGATCAGTCATAAGTGACCCTGAGTGGGTGGAAAAAGCAGCATGGTCACCAATCAGATATTTGCTTGTTCTGTCACTGTATTTGATCATGCCATTACATTTTCCCAGCTGTTATGAATACATATCCAACAGCACCTAATACTAAAATATGCAAACAATGGGCAAAATAATGTTTGTAAACACTCCTTCTTTAACTCATTATATTGATTATGCAACTTTATTAAACTTTTGTGTGTAAGTATGCCTCATTAATAACATTTTAGTGGACCCCCCTTTAAAAAAGAAAATGCAGTTACATTTATGACATTTTTCAGATTTTAATCTAAACGTCAATGAAAAAAAAAAAATAGAAATTCTTCTTCAGTAATTCTGAACATTTGTACGACATAATATACTATGTATTATCAATCACTTACTGATGGCACACTATACTTGATTTTTTATGACATTTGTATGACATACTGTACTATGACTTTTTAAGTACTTAATTTATTGCTTACGATTCTAAGTTTTTAATGACTTCTTTACAACGTACTAGCCTATGATTTTAATGTTACATTTCTTAACCTTCAACATACTACACTGTAATTATAAAATAGGGTATGACTTTGACAGTTTAAATGCCATACTACTAAAGCTTTTTATAGGACTTACAACACTTTTAATTGTTTTAATAATTTTTCAATCGTAAACAATGGCTTTGACTTGACATTTTTATGATGAATCAGAAAGCATTATTTTGACAGCATCATAATTCACTATAAATGTCTTCATAATGAACTACAGACGTGGTCTTCAAAGAAAGTGTTACCTATAACTGACCTATTTTTGTTTTGATACTTCAAATTAAGGAATAATTATTAAATACCAGTGAATTGATTTGAGACTTGATGGTTTTTCCTGCTGTGCCTCAGGTTTTCAGACTTTGGCTGCATGTTGGAGATCCTCAGTCTGGAGGTGCTGCCTGATGGACGCTCCTTTGTGGACGCATTGGGAGTCAGCAGGTTCAAGGTGCTGAGGAGAGGTCAGCGAGATGGATACAGCACTGCTGATATCGAGTACCTGGAGGACCTGAAGGTCCCAGAGATGATACTTAAAGCAACACGTAAATATTCACAAAATATTACAACTTGAACCTCTTCTCACTTTTCCTCCTGTCTGTGTCCTCCTTCTCGCAGGTTGAAGGCAGTGAGTTGGAGGTTCTGGAGGGTCTCCATGACAGTGTGTACCAGCAGGCTCAGGACTGGTACCAGCGCCTGGCCGTCCGCATCCGCGATCAGATCAGCAGGCAGTACGGCACCATGCCAGAGAAGGACGAGAACATTCAGGTTAGCACACATTCTTACTGTAGATTAACATCTTATTTTCTAGCAGCATCCAGGAACCACAGAGCAATATTTACTTATGTTTTGTCATGTTGCCCACGGCAAGAATTAGCTTTCATTACAGACCAGAGTAACATTACAATGTGGAGAATATTTTGGTTGGAGGACTTTTCTACCTATTTATGTCTTTGTAAGTCATTATTAACTTAGCTAAGGTTAATGCATCAAATCACTTTCCAAATTCATCAAACACATGCAGTCGCTATCTAGCATGTCTACTTCCCTTTTTTTTAAATTATGTTTTATCCATGGTCCATTCATTCATTAGCGATGGAATTATATTTCAAACACGCTTCTAATAAGTAAATTGATCACTGGGAAAATAATAACTGCTTTTATTCTCAAAGCTATTAGTTATTGTTTTATGTTTATACAGTACATGCATTCAGAGCTCCCTTACTGACAGGGGTAACAAAACGCAATAAAACAGACTTTATGTTCATAGGGATATAGGGACCCTAAAGCAGCTCCTCAGCACCCAAAAGTCACGGCCAACTAAGTTGCCAACCAATTGCTCGAAAATGGAAAGAGTAGAAAGAGAGGGAAAAAGACCAAGCTGAACCGCAAGAAATACATCGAGGACCCTGCTTTTACAAGACAGCTCACTATGGAAGAGCTGGAAGGGGGAATCTCTATCCTCAAACCAGGAAAGGCAATTGGACTGGATACTATCGCAACGGAACAGATCAAGCACTTCGGTCACAAGGCAAAGACGTGGCTCCTACAGCTCTACGATGAGTGCTTAACAACACACAATCTTCCTAACATCTGGAAGAAAGCCCACATTATAGCACTGCTGAAACCTGGTTTAAGGGAAACTTCTGTGTAGCAGCAATGCAGTGGGAGTCACCGACTCAGGAAAGAGACACGGTAGAGCAGGAGCTTTGATGTCAAACACTGATGGTTTATTTGGAGTTTCGGCCGGAGGATTCACATCACAAGTCACAGCAGTCACGGTGAGACTGCACGGGTGGGTTGCCACGTCAATTCTGGAGCGCCTCTCTCTTGTTAGCCCATTTAACTGGTTTCACAGAGAGTAATCAACATATTTTGATAAGATAGCTTAGACAGTTGGGCACACTTGCGTCCGTCACTTATGGCCTCGAAGATTTCATACCTTGGAGTCCACAAACAACAAAGAAGGAAGTGTCCCAGTGCACCCACAACAACAGACCATCTGTGACCTAGTGTTGCCCGGTCACAGAATGGGAACAATAACATTATGGCTGAAGCAGCCTATCTCCTTAAAGGAGATAACAGACGTCAGGGTTGGTCATGTACGTCATATCTAGGAGTCTAGGACAATAATTTCCCTAACACCTGGGAAAGAACCATCCGCTCCCAAGAACTTCAGACCAATCTCACTTTTGAGCCACACCTACAAACTCTTTGAACGTCTGATCCTCAACAGAATTGGTGCCTTTGTTGACGAACACCTCATCCCTGAACAAGCAGGTTTCCGCCCTGGCAAGTCGACAACTAGCCAAGTACTCAACCTCACACAGTACATCGAAGACGGATATGAGGAAGGGATGGTAACTGGTGCGGTGTTTGTCGACCTCTCAGCTGCCTATGACACAGTCAACCATAGACGTCTCCTCAGTAAGATCCTGGAGACCACAAAAGACACCCGCCTGACAGAGCTGATTGAAAGCATGCTTGAAAATAGGCACTTCTTCGTTGAGCTAGGAGGAAAGAAAAGGAGGTGGCGAAGACTCACGGCCCGTCCACACAGCGGCGTGCGTTGAAGCTTCCAACGCTTCTGCCCATTCACTTTGAATGGGGTGACGTCACTTTTAGCCGAACTGCATCGTGGGAAGCGACGCGGAGCGTTGCTGGTGTGGCTCGCTGCAAAAGTTGAGCAATGTTCAACTTTTGACGCCTCGGCAGAAGCGTCAGCCAATCGAGTCATATGCCAGTACAAGCTCTAGCCAATCAAACCGCTGCTTGTGTGTCAGGGGCGGGAGATTCATGTGATTGGTTGTTGGTCGAGTGTCAGACACGCCCGCCGGCAAGCGTCAACGCACGCCGCTGTGTGGACGGGCCGTCAGGAATGGCCTCCCACAGGGAAGTGTGCTTGCACCACTTCTCTTTAACATCTACACCAACAACCAACCAAAAAGTGTAGACACCCGCTGCTTCATCTATGCAGACGATCTTGGCATAGGTGCACAAGCCACTGATTTAAAAACTGTGGAAGACAGACTCTCTAACGCTCTGGCAGAGCTAACACCTTACTATGAAGAGAACCACCTACGTGCAAACCCATCTAAGACACAGGTGTGTGCCTCCCACCTGAGAAACCGTGAAGCCAAGCGCCAACTGAAGGTCAGCTGGTCAGGAACCTCCCTTGAACATTGTGAGCACCCAGTCTACCTAGGGGTAACCCTGGACAGATGCCTCTCTTTTAAGACCCACACTGAGAAGACTAAGTGCAAAGTGAGTGCGAGGAATAACATCATCCGCAAGCTCACCGGCACGACCTGGGGTGCAAACCCACAGACTCTGAAGTCAACCGCACTAGCCCTCTGCTACTCAGCTGCCGAGTATGCCTGCCCAGTATGGGAACGATCTGCCCATGCCAAGAAGCTGGATCCCGCCCTCAATGCTAGCTGCCGCATTATCACAAGCTGCCTGAAACCAACACCTACAGACCGTCTGTACATCCTGGCAGGCATAGCCCCATCAGAGATATGACGAAATGCAGCAAGCAAGAAAGAGCGCCAACAACAGTCTACTGACCAAAGACATCCTCTCTTTGGCCATGTGCCAGCCAAAAGCCGCCTTAAATCCAGGAAAAGTTTCCTGAAGAGCGTCCCACCTCTCGGAACACCGAGCATAAGCAGTGAAAGAGTCACTCGGTGGGAAGAAAGACTTGACAACCTCCCATCAGCAACAACAATGGAGCTAAAGGCGAGCGAGGCACTGCCCCCTGGAGAAGACACCAACTACGCAGTGTGGAAATGCCTAAACAGAATAAGATCTGGTGTTGGATGTGCAAAAGCCACTCTCGCCAAATGGGGATACCTAAATGATGGGGACGTTGTGTGTGACTGTGGCATTGAACCACAAACCATGCAACATCTCCTGATATGCCCCCTGCTAGCAACCCTGCACAACATCGGACTTGGCAGAGTTTAATGAGAAGGGACAGCAATGTGTTCAGTTGTGGCTGAACCACATCTAACCAAGCCCTGTAACTGACTGCCTTGTGGACACGATAAGGATAGGGATATAGTTCCAGTTGAATGAAAAAACATTACAGCATGCATGATAAGATTGTGATCTGGAAGAAGAATAACTTGATAAGCTCTAGTTATCTTTAACTGAAAACATACAGTATGTTTATTACAATACACATCTGATCAGAGAAGCCTTTAGCATAGCATGTTTAACTGGACCCAGACTTAAAGGGGACCTATCATGCAAAATGCACTTTTGTACGTCTTTGATACATGAATATGTGTCCCCGGTGTGTCAGGGAACTCACCAAGTGTCAGAAAACACAACCCTCTCTCTTTTCCTCCATACCCACATCTCTAAAAACGGGGCTGCAACGGAGCTGATTATTATTTGAATTGTTCTGACGTCAGAAAAGGGGTGCTCCGCCTATATGGGCAACTCTCCACCTACCAGGGGAATGAGAGACCGCTCGATAGCGCTGGAGACGCTGTAGTACATATGCCAGGCCTGTAAGTGGCGCTGTAGTCTGCCACAAAAGTAGAATCAGCCCATGCAAAAACAGAGCAAATAGAGCGAAATGAGGCATGGCTAAAATGCATGATCTGTTTGGTATTTTGAACTTCACAGACATGTTTTATATAGGTTGGCCCTACAATATATGTTTAAAATATAGCATGATAGGTCTACTTTAAACAATCCTTCAGCTTCTGACAGTACAGTATGTCGCACATCACATATTATCACGTGTAAAACCCCCACCAGGGAGGACACTAAACAATGTGTAGCCCTGGGTCCAGACCATTCACCGTGATATTCAGAGGCTCCACATATAAAGCATACCAAGTGTACAGTACTTTTAAGGCCTCTCAGTTGTGAAACCATGATTGAAAATTATTTTTAGAAATACAATTTCAAGGATTAGTCATACAATTTAGAGAAGAAAACATCACATTTAAGGAAAGAAAAAAAGAATGCTCTCTCAGAATAAAAAAAAAAAACTACACAATTCTGTGTGAATTTCTTTCTTTTTGTATCAAGCTTTTTGTCAAGGAACCACATTGCTTTACTCAGCAAAATTGGTTCATTTTTCCCAATTTTTAAAATGTGTGACCTTAATTCTGAGTATTTTTCAAAAAGGTATTTCTCTTGTGAGTTTTTGACTTGGCTTGCATTATACTTTATGCATTTATCTATGCTAAACCTGTGTCACTCTCCTCCAGGCCTCTTCCAACGGGCCGGCCTGGTGCTGGTGGCTGCTATCCGTCCTCCAGCTGGACCCTGCCTATCAAACCACCGTCCTGTCCCTGGCCTCCCTCAAAGACCGCTTGGGACACCTCCGCCTCGTCCTGGAGTACTTTTCTCAGAGCTAGACCCCCCTTAGTTCAGTGGTATTGTGAAAATGATAAACCAATGAATCCATACACACAGAGATTGGAGCTGGGTCTGCCCTGCATCACCAAATAATGTGGTTAATAGCAGAAAGAAAGTGATTTTATCACATTACAGTTGTACATTTGGCTGTTTTGAAGTTTACATGTGTTATATGTCTTACACCGTCTTTTATTCCATGGGTTCAGAGTATTTCCTGAACACACGTTGTACATGGCTGACCAAAGATGCTTCTTACTTAGGTTGATCGAAGGTGGTGAATTATTATTTCTTGATCAACTAAATCAGTTTGAAAGACTAAGCACTAGGTGTCACTGTTTTTTCTCTCAATTGTAAACATGAGGAACATACAGCGTCAGCCAAGCCAAGCTGTTACAGTATGTGTTGCCTATTCAAATCAGACTCCTGCATTAACATAGCCTGATTTGGGAATTAACATTAATAGCACACACACTTTGTAGAGATTTATAGACAAATATTTCAGCACTATGCACATCATTATCAAAGTGATTTAGATATTAGCCATAGGGCACTGCTTGTAATTCTGATAATTTAGTTGCATCTATTGGCTTTGGCAGCCATTGACTATGGCTCATTTTATACGATTTAATAACCTTAAGAGATCCCTATTTAGTATTAGACATTGCAATAATAATTTGTAATTTCACATGAAAAGGCAATGACTGGAGGATTTTTTTAATAATGAGAACTTCTGCTGGGTGACTTTCAGGATTTGTCATCAAGTGCTGGGAAAAGTCTGTGAAATGATGACATTGAGGAGATCAGTGAATGGTAGGCTTGCTGTACCAGCTTTGTTTTACAGTATAAACCTGTGTGATGATGCAGCACTGTATGTATGTGTGTCAGCTGTAAATAAGTAATTTTCTTTGGAGCCATTTTCATGATTTTCATTATCCGTTTTTTAAAATGTCATATGGTGCGGTGTCAGCATTGAAAATGGCTACTGTCAGTGGTCTGGCGTGAAGCCAGGACAGAGTGTTTACCATCTCTTGTGCAGAGATAGCTGTAAAATAATGTAGTGAGTGTTTGACCAGGTGCCTGGCCCCAGCTGCATCTCCCCATCTGTGTGGCCGCTCTACCACCAGACATGGTGCCTTTGAGAGCCTGGGCTAACTCAGCAGGAGGCTACAAGTCTTACACGTTCTATGATTTAGAAAGTGCTTTTGTGTTTTATTTGGTGATTGATTCTTATTTAACATAGTGCTATACATTCCATGGAATGTTGAAGCAGCAATGTGGCGTATAGTTTACAAACAAATAAGAGCTTTTCCCCCCACTAAATGGCAATGTTAGTAGACGGTTTTTCCCACAATTCATCAAGAATGTTTTCCGGTTTTTGTATTCTTCCTTTCAAAGTTTTCTTCAAGAATTCAGAGAAAGTAATTGACATACAAATGGTCATTTTGGGGGTGAAGTATTCCTTTAACTGAGTGAAGCCTAAGAGCTTTTTCCTTTATAAATGTGCCATAGATATATCCATGTTATGTGTTTTAGAGGAGTAGTTAACTAAAAAGTGTTTATGTTTTCTTCACCATGAACTCTGAGGTTAGTCTTCATCAACCCTCATGCCTTCTGTGTGGTGGATACTCTTCATGGCTCTTCATGGCCAACATATCACGTTAAACAGTCAGAATTTGAAAACACACTCATAGATACAGTTTGTGTGACATGGTAAATCAGCCCTGCTAGTGTGGTAAAGATATATGGTAGAATAAAATGGGTAATCGTGAGATATGCTCAAAGATATTCCACTTGGGCCAGCCAATGGATAGACTGTTGGATAGTGGAGCATCATTACCCACCCAATAAACAGACTGACTATTGCACTCCTGGACACTTACACTACTTAAGATCAAGGAACACTGTCTCTGAAGATGGATGAATCGACCTTTGTTAATAAGCTGATGTTTTTAAAGCCATCCAAGAATGACATTGAAGTGAAAGATTTTATGGTGCCAGATATCACAACACGTTTTTAAGCTATAATTGTTGATTTCACTGAAAAATACATGTAGCCTACCATAAAAGGTCAGTTTCTTGCTGCTACCAGAACATTCAACGTTCTCTCACAGATAACAAAGGATTGAGATTCTTATATAATATTTGAATTAATTGCCTTGTAAACCCTTGTTGTAACTGCATGACTAAGCCCACAGACATTGAGGTGAATTCCTCTGCCCTATCACTTATCAGAACATTTATTGTTTTGTTTGTATTTTATTTTCTGGTGCTCAGCTGCAGTTTGTCACTTTTTCTCTCTTTTTCAAATCGTTCATATTTTGCGTGTCTCTTTTATTACTTTGATGCCAACTTTCAATTAATAAAATGGTTATCACAGTAATCCGTCTTGTTTTACTCTGTTTAAAGGAGCACTTTATCTCTGTGTGCATTTGACTTCATGATAAAATGGCAATTACATTTGAAAATAAATAACTTCTAATGCTTTAAACTTAGGACAACAAGTGACCCTTTCTCCACATCGACTCCTTCTTTATTAAAACTTTCAAACGTATCTGGGAAAGGCTGTGACAAGTTTCAGAGATGTGTTCTTATTGTGGGCTGTACTGCCTAAATAGTTTTGGAGCTAAATTAGTTATAAAGAAAATGTGGAAAATTGATCAAATGACTTGTGAAAGTCAATAGCTAAAATGAAATACAATACAAAAACAACATTTTATGAAAGAGTCAATAGTAATGAATGTATAGTATAATATAGAATTTCTTAAAGTACGTCATAGTAAATCACTCAAAGAGGGCATTAAAAAAAAAATTCATTCATTCATTCAAGTCATAATATGTTATTTCTTAAAAAATATATAATACAGATGTATTTAACAAATCAAAGTGAAAAAAAGGTTAACAAAGTCACAGTAAAGTATGGCATACAATTACATAAAAAAATGTAATTGTATATTTTGCCATGAAAACATATTAAAAAAAACATTGTTTAATATGCCATAATACTGCACAATAGACACTGAGCAGTATTAATTAGAGATACATGTGCGCTCTGTGCTCAAATACCTCCCCATTAGTCCGATGACAAATGACCCACTGAAACATTACATTACATTACATTGCATTTAGCTGACGCTTTTATCCAAAGCGACTTACAATAAGTACATTCGACCAGGAAGACACAACCTTGAAGAAAACAGAATCATATAAGTACAAAGCAATTTATGTCTCATTCATCAGTATTCAGTCCTCTGCCTCCAAGTCAAGAGCAGTAAATATTCTTAATGGTATTATTGTTTATTTGCTTGCCCCCTGGATGACTTTTTAAGTGATATTATAAATAAAGCTTTTCAAAGCAAATTCTGCATTATCTTTATTTAATGTGCCTGACAGAGTAATTTGAATGTTAGGCGGACAATTCTGTGGTCATTAAGGTGGCATTACAAGCCACGTGGAAGGGGTTAGATATATTGCAATTTCCAGCATGACAGAATTCGGTATAAAGGAGGGGTGATGGCAGTGAAATGTGTCTCACATACTGATAGAAAGACACTTGAATTTAAACGGAACATTACCGAGAACTGTGAAGTGCTGCAGCCGGATCAAAGAAGCCTTGGCTTTACACTTGCAGTCAGAAATTAAAAGCTATAAAAGATAGACCCAGTATTTTTAGCGTTTGTCCAATTGGAAGAGTCAATGTAACGTTGACTGTATTGCCACCGAGACGTTTGTTATGGATATGATCATAATGTTTTGTATTTTCCTTCATTTGCAACAGATTTCAAACATAGTCTTTTAGATGTGTAATTGTTGAGATTTATACCAATGTATATATTCTAAAGGGAGCCAATTCAGAGAGTCATCCTCACTCCAACAAAATAACACATTTGAAAAACCTCCCTCGCATATACAAAACAATGCAGACACATGCTACAAAGTTAGCTTCCACCAGGGGGCAGTCTGAAGCTGTGGAAGGAGTGCTACACAGATGGAATCATACTTTATAAACAAGGAGACATCTCATAAGAGCAAGGCCTTGTTTTATTATCATAAAGGCTCAATATGATCACGTGAGTGTCACAAATAGGGTCACACGTTTGGCTGGCAGGCAGAACCAATCGTATGAAACAAGATAGAGGGAAGTAGTTATTTCACATGCATCTGAAAAAAACCATAAATGAATGCAAGTAAAATGAGGATGTGTGAGTGTAGGTGTTCACGCTGTGAACCGCATGGCTCTAAGCACAAGAAGAATAATAATAATAAAACACAGCATAGCAGAAGTGAGGCACGTTTCCTGCCAGCGTCCTCTGCATAGGAAGCAGGCAGATGAAAAGAGGTTTCAGTAGCTTCAGCAGGGCTCTGTAATGCAGCTCAGCGTCTACATCAAAGCCCATTACATTTGAAGAATGCCACAGCTTTTCTGTACTAAATTGATCCATCGGCTTGCGCTGACTCCCTGCTTGTGTATGACTGAGTAAGGATGACAGGCGTTTTGTAGGAGTTATCGCAAAGGGGGAACCGGCTGTGGCTGTGTGTGCGTGCACTTGTACTTCTACTGTTAAGAGGACCAAATTCCCCCACATGGTTACAAAATCCTCTGCAGGATGGATATATTTTTCTGGTTTCGAATTAAGGTTTAGGACTAAAGTTGAAATGTATGTTTATGTAAAGGTCAAGGAGTCATGTAAGAGAAGACAATGGATTCAGTCCTGAAAAGCATCTGAATACACACAAGTGTATGGGAATCTTTTGTAATGATTCCTCATAATAATGGAAGAACTCACTGGGGTCTCTCCACTAAAATAGACTTGTATAACAGTGAGAGAGCCATGGAGAACATCAGAGGATGAATGCAGCTCTGTTGTCATAGGAACAAAACCCAGCATGTCAAAGCTTGATGTCAAGAGCAGATGTATCAATTATGAAATGGAGAAACTTTGTCTTTGAAGTGAAAAGCATTTTGTTTACCTTACAAATCCTGTAAGACAACATGCGGGGAGCTAATTCCCGCAGATATGAGGAAAGGTGAATTAAAGCAGGAAGTATTGAAGTGAAAGGGAGATAGTGGGAAAGAGCTCAGGTTGCCAAATGTATGTGTGTATTCGTGTGTGTGTTTTCAGCAGTGCTCCATGCCCTCTTCTTTGGAGGATTGCAGTTTTTCATGTGTGTGTGTTCTCCTGTGGATATGAGGCTGATAAACCTTGCATGTTTCTGTCTTTGTATAACCCCCTTGACTGTCAACAAGATGATAAACGCATGAGTACGCTCTTGTGTGACAGTGCCTCTGAGAGCCAAGGTAAACATATTGGCCACCTACTTCTGTTAGCATCATGGGACACTTAAATATAAATGCTTTGCTATAAAACACACAGTCATCCAAATAAACAAAAACCCAGGAAGTCTTTCCTTACAAAGATGAAACTTGTTGATTCAAGCCTTAAACTTTTGATTTGTGAGGCGGATGAAAGAATTTGACCTTCCACATTTTATGATTGACAGTTTACTACCTCAAAAAAAATGGAAGAGAAATCTCTTTGCCACTCTACAAAGAAGGCAGCACTGGCACAGATGAGGTTTGAGGAGGAATACAAAACCTGGCAATCATTTTATGTTCTGGGGATTCCATAAAAAAAAATACTCAAAACAAATGAAGCAGATAGGGATCGCCTGCTGGGAGATGAAGGACAGGAGAAACAGGAAGTGGGGTGACGCTGCAGGAGATACGATGTCACACAACTTGCTCACTGATACATAGAGTTACTGCCTGCTGAGACACACACCTGGCTGTGAGCTACTTTCTTGTGTGTGCAAGGACACAGAAAGACTGACATAAATATAATAGTCAGCAGTCCTTCAGAGAGCCAGTTTTAAACAAGTCATGTGAGCTTGTCTGCATTCTTGACTCACCGT